CTCCCGCCAATTTCCAGCCTGTCGAGCCTATTTTTGACCACACAGCAAACGTCTTTCTCAGGCTGACATGGATAATACAGATTTCTCCCCTAAACTTGTTGTTTTCTGAAATATCTGGCTTCCTGATCCCCATTACTTTCGCTCATCACTCAAAGCCCTTTACTCCTCCACATTACGCCCAGTAACTCTGTGAAATGCCATTGTAAAATGCCCAGCTTTTGTTAAATGAAGGCTTAAACACTTTCATTATTCTGCGTATCTTCGTTCCAAATTATCTATATCAAAAAGTGCTAAAACTTAAAGACTAAAAAATACGATGTCTGGCATACAAAGTAATATATGTAAAAAACCAAGTGACAGAACGATTAAAATCAATGTTTTATCGCTGCTTTAAAAAAAAAGCGACTGCGAACCGTCTTTAGCCAAATCAAAATAGTGCAAACTTTTTAAAGCCCAGCATTTTCCTAAAAACAATTCAGAACTAAACAACTACATCGACCCAGATAACCATACGCTTTCGTCAACCAAGGTCATAATTAAAGTTTTAAAGCAATAAGTTGGAGAAAATGGGGAGAAATGTACTAATTTCGCCTTTCAGGAAAAACACTAAAAACCAAAAATTATTGCGTACAGTAGCCTTGTGCTCATCACATAGTTCTAGATGCAAACAATGCGAGCACAGACAGACGAGTGACAAACCATAATCGAAATAACATTTTCACAATTTATTAGTTTATCTAAGTAGAACTACCAAATTCAAACCAAACTCAGCACAACAGTACTCCAAATAACTCATCACTGCCTAAACCGCATAGCACCTAAATCTTACTCCCTAAACTTTGCACAGGAAATGTCACCACTCTTCCAGAGAAGTTTAGGCCCCCTAACCTCTTCCAAACGATTAGAGATCAGCGATCAAAAACTAGCAGGTTTAACTTCAGCCAATGATAGACAAATCATTCTCATCCGTAACTAATGTGGAGTCTTCCTCACTAAATCTATAAAATCAAAAATCAATACTTCTCATATCCAGACACCCAAACATCCTTGTAAAACTGTTACGATAGAAGAAATGTGACTAGAAGTGCTGAAAAATAAATGACAAATAAATCTCGACAAAAAATGATAAAAGTCTTTCACGCTAATAGTTTATTCTACAAAACAAACAGAAAAATTATTTTGATAGGACCTTGAGCAATAAATATCATAAGTTCAATGCTGCCTACACTACCGCAAAACTTCTTTATTAAGGAACATGAGGATATTATACGGCAAAAACCAGAGCTAAGCTGAAAACGTGACCGGTAAACCACTTTGGAATAAAAAAAATTGGTCAATATTGTGAGAAACAACCTACAAAAACGAAAGCTACTCAAATGCATCTTACACTTACCACTGAAATATGAAAGCACCAGTTCATATACTAATAAGCCACACCCGTAAGGACATATTATAAAAAAGATAAAATGCACTAAGTTCCAAAATAGTAATGATACATGCAAAATGACAGTTCCACTGAAAATAAATATCAGATTGAACTGTTGATTTAAAGATACTCGAAAAGTAAGGTTAGAAGAATTATGAGAGTATCTTATCTTTAACACTGTAAAACAGACTATTTTACCAACAGAAATGAACAACACAAATATTTTAAAACTACTTTCTTAACCGTAGTTTACGTATTTCCTCTTGCCTCAATTCCGCTTTTAACTGTTCAAGTTGAGAAGCACTTAACAACCCTCGAGCAACAAGGCTTTCTGATATAGTACGCTTTTTACCTAAATAAAAAGGCTGCGATGACAACGGATGAATAAATGCTCACAGAAGGCATTAGAACGGTAAAAAACTATAAGCAAGAACTCAAAATAACTGAGAAGCTTGCTTTATAAAAACAGAGCAAATATTTTTTTAACAATGAAAACCGTGCTGAAACAGATTATTCACAGTTAATCAATGTGGTATTTGATACCATTATTGATTAACTGTGAATACTTATCTGTTTTGTCCATTAACTATGCCCAATGTGGAATTGAAATAAAACTTTTGAAAAAGCGCAAAACATTTTATAAAAAATTCCTCACCTCTTCTTTTTTTGGACAGCCTCAAGACCACCTTTGAGGACTCACCTGCATTATCCTTAACTTCTTCTGGTCCATCTCGTTCTTCCTTGTCCTCCTTACTCGCTTTCACCGTCTAAAAACAGAGCAGGTTTTCTAATGCACTTACCGCTAAAAACCGTCTTCAAAAGTAGATTAAATAAAGTGCAACCTCTGCCCTCATAAATTCAGCCTTTTCTTCAGCAACTCGTGTTCTTTCGTCAATTTTTTTCCTGATACCATCGCTCTTTGCGTTATGACTAGCATATAATTCTACAATCCTTTCCAGCCCATCTTGAATCATAGTATCTATCTGCTCTTTTAAATCGAGCGCTTCATGCTCAGCCGGCATCATGTCCTACACATCACATTTCTCACAGAAAATAAACGCTATAGTTTTAAAAGAAATTTTTCTGAAAAACTAACCTGGAACCTAAAACTCAACCAAAGATACGCATCTAAAACAGCATGCATTTGTTCCAAATGAAAAAGGTCAGTTAATCTTCCGAGAGGCCTAGGAGGCCACCCAATAGCATAACACAACCATTCAAAGTCTAATGCCTGCCCCTGTGAAAATCTGAAAACATTGGCAGAGTCGTAA